CTGTCTGATGAGGGATCCTCCCTGTATGCAGCGTGATAGGCCTTTATGTGTTCACTGCCATAGCCCTTCACACTCTTTGTTGTAGTCATCACTTTTTATCTGTCTCCCCACTTTCAGCAACTGTTTTTACAATTGTTCACTTCCTAATTCCTTGTTCATTTAGCCCCTGAATTTTAGGGAACTTCCGAAAGTAGTAGTAACTCCCTTTTTCTATCATTATAATTAAGCCTAATTATACTTTTTAAGTAGGAAATGAGGGAAGAAATTTCAGACGCTGAGAGTTTCTGAAACAGAACAAAATGTGATGATTATGCTATACCTTTAGTCCATGTAGAACAGTATTACAAAACACTGAAATGGTCTAATATGGGTTTTGAATGCACTAGGCCTATGATACTTCTCTGCTTTTCTTTCTGAATTATTATTTTTTTGTATGTCCAAATAGTTCCAGACTCTGACCAACGTTTGGGGGCAGACACAGAGATTTTGCCAGCCTTCCCACTCCAGGCCCTTGCTTCTGGGATGTCTGGTTCTTTTTATAAATGCTATCGAGGGAGATACAATTGTAGTTCAGTCATAATTCCATTACCTCATTCAGGTAGGCCTCATGGGCAGGCTGTCTTTTTCTTTCACAGCAAGCTGCCGTACTGTGGGAACACAATTCTTCACAGAATTTTTGCAACGATGCATGTTCCATTTTTGCACTAATATAAAGTATATCTTGTGCCCCCTCCAAATCCTATTAGCATTTTTATTGATATTGTGAGCTTTATGGATTAACTTAGGGAGAATTGGCCGATTGGTGGTATTGGGTTATGCTATCCACTGGAATATTAGTTTCTAGATGGGGGGTTTTTTCTCTGTTTTGTACAGTGCTGTGTCTCCAAACCCTAGAACAGTGCCTGGCACATAGTAGGTGCTGAGTTTTTGTTGAATGAAGGAATGGATGCCTTTCCATTTGTTCTGATCTTATAGCCCTCAGAAGTGTTTTAAATTTTTCCTTCACATTTTTCATTAAATTTTTTCTTAGAGATTTAATTTTTTGGCTATTGTAAATGTTTTTTTTTCTTCAATGATAACTTCTAAGGGTAGTGGTCGTACGCTAATTACCATGTTTCTCTTTTATTAGTGTAGATATCTTGTGCCCCCTCCAAATCCTATTAGCATTTTTATTGATATTGTGAGCTTTATGGATTAACTTAGGGAGAATTGGCGGATTGGTGGTATTGGGTTATGCTATCCACTGAAATATTAGTTTCTAGATGGGAAGGTTTTTCTCTGTTTTGTACAGTGCTGTGTCTCCAAACCCTAGAACAGTGCCTGGCACATAGTAGGTGCTGAGTTTTTGTTGAATGAAGGAATGGATGCCTTTCCATTTGTTCTGATCTTATAGCCCTCAGAAGTGTTTTAAATTTTTCCTTCACATTTTTCATTAAATTTTTTCTTAGAGATTTAATTTTTTGGCTATTGTAAATGTTTTTTTTTCTTCAATGATAACTTCTAATAGGCTGTTGTTTGTTTATGTAAGGGTTATGGTTTTTTGTATATTAATTTTGTTACCATCTATGTTACTAAATTTTCTGATTTGTTTCACTGCAGAGCTTGATTTAGTAAGCCTTGAAATGTAAGTGAACTCATGCGAATGAATGCATCTGTCTTCATTTCTCTTTGCCATTAGATCATTATGCAAACATTAAACACCAAGAAAGACATGAAATGATTGATTAATCTAGTGGAGAGTGCAAGATAGCTCCCAGCAAACTCCAGAAGCATGTTCCTCCCTCTCCAGACTGCTTCTTTTCTCCTACCCCTTCAGACATTCCCATGAAATATGTAGTCAATCCTTCAGGGACTAGAGATACTTATTGGCAGTTAACATTCTTGTGATCCAGCGCATTTTCTTGCAGCAATATTCTATCTTTCCTCCTGAGTTTTGCCTAATTTAGATTCTGCCTTTGGTCTGTTCCACTTAGCTAATCCTGATCGATAAGTACAGACAGATTAGACAGAAGACAACATGTGGCACAAATATCGCATTTGGAACAGCAAGCCTTCAGCTTACATTGTTGGCAGGACTGACTCCTCCATGCTCCCTCCCCCCACAGCCCACACTGTGGCATGCCGATCGGTTCCTGAACCATTTGCCTCTGTGATTAGGCTATAAGCACCTCAGACTTTTTCCATCTTTCCGTTTTATTGTCTGGCTCACGGTAGGCACTCAATAAATGCTTGAATCAATGAATGCACAAATTGCTCAATTAACTAGGGCATGAATATTTTCTGTCTTTTATGGTATTAAAATTAGCCCTGGGGAAAAGATTTGAAATATTTTTAAACAAGAAGGTAGTTGACTCTGACTAATTTAAAAAGTAGCTCATCCCTCAGTGGTTTGAGCATCTGCCTGCGGACTGAAGGGTCCCTGGTTCGATTCTGGTCAAAAGCATGTACCTCAGTTTCGGGCTCTATCCCTGGCCCTGGTCAGGGAGCGGGAGGCAACCAATCAATGTGCCTCTGTCACATGGATGTTCCTCTCTCTGTCTTTCCCCCTCTCTTCCACTCTCTCTAAAAATCAATGCAAAAAATATCTTCAGGTGAGGATTAACCAAAAAAAAAAAAAAGGAGCCCAGAAAGATTTGTATTGTAACAGAGACCAAATTAAACTACAGAAATTGAGCTCTTCTAGATTTTCAAGGTTCAACCAGAAGGCTTGGAAGGACCTGGGTTCCTTGTGAAGAAAACTGTATGGTCCACACCCCAGGACACTGCGCCTTAGTTTGAGCATCTCATTCATGCAGGAAGCTCATTCTTGAAAACCTGAATAGGAATAAAGTCTTGTGAATTGAAACTGACTTCTCTCTTGCCAGGTAGTACTATTTCATAGTTGCTTCTTTGTGCATTTCTGACTGACCTTTAAGATGGGCCCTTAAAAAACTATGCTTCCAACTCTTCAAGTTAAAATCTATAATCAAATGTTTAAACGTACAGGGTTGTTCTACATGTTTAAAGAAAATGCAGAGAATTCTTTTGTTGGGAAAAATTGTTGAGCGCATTGCATCCCTGTAGTGTGGATAGTCATCATCTGTTATGTACTTTATTATTAAATTAAATTATTTTAATTATTCACTTTATTTTTTTAAAGTAGTTTATACCTGGTTTTCTGCCAGGAAGGATTTGGAGGGGGAGTTGTTTGTTTAACTGATCTCTGCAAATATCAGTTGGGCCTATGTATGTTTTTATTGGTGTGTAGGGGGTTGTTTTATTGCATTTTAAGGTGAAATGTACACAGTGGTGGACTTTTGTTACAAGTGCTTCTGCTAAATGATTTAAAAGGCTCTGTGCTTTTTGTATACTTGACAAGAATTTTGATTCCTGAATTTCAGCTATTGTGTGATCTCACATAAAATGTAGTTAATGAAGCTGACATCACTCATACCCATAAACTCTTCCTTGGCTTCTACTTTAACGGGCAGCAACAGCTCACGAATGCACTGTCATGAATCACCCATGAAGAAGTGCGCTGGGTGCCAAGGTCACAGGACCTGGCAATCTCAAAAGCCGTGTCTGGAATGACGTTCTGGGCGTCACAGAGGAAGTCATGCCCTGTCCCTGCCCCCCACTCGCCTGCTTTCCCATGGTACTCTGTTTTTCTCAACAGATGAGAGATTATTTCCTTCCCCAACATGAGTTGACGTTTTTCACCTGTAGGTGGGATAGTATATCAGCAACAACAATTTAAAAACCTTTATGATAAAGATTCATTTACATTTTTAAAACAATTACCTCTGTTATGTAATTAAGAAAGGGGCAGAGGTGTGCAAATAATATTTTTGGCTTTCGGACTTTGAAAAAGAAAGTCTGTTCTTGCATTTTAAGTAATGCCTTTGATGTCCCAGAAGTTCATAACGCCTGAAATTCATAACCTGGTCCAGAAAGATTTGGAAAACTGTCCGTTTTCCCCATCCCTACCCAAAAATGTGCATGCAGAGGGGGCATAAAATCACAGAGAATTTTTAAGCAGTGTTTATCATAATTAGCCTCTGGACTTAATCCTGCATGCTGACTCTACTCATTTTCTTTCAGAAAGGAAGGGTAGTCTTCAAGTTTTCTTACCTTCGGTTGTGGCTAAAATCAAAAGATTTGGGTTCTCTCTTAGTGTAAAGACATTATCCCCACAGGATCTGTAAGATTTTACATTTTTATGTGTAGAAAATGAGGGCTTTGCAGCAATTACCCAGGTTTCTGAGGGCCAAACCTGCTTTACCATATCGTGACATACTCTGTAAGAAGTGATGAGTTGCTACATGAGGCCATTGTACTTTGTTTTCTGAACGACAGGAAGAAAAAAAAAACAAGTAAAGCTCAAACAGGTAGAAAGCTCTTTTCTATTGCTTGAGTCCTCGTCTTCTTCGCTGAAATGTAACATGAACTTGGACTCTGTGGCTATACTGTATGCATCTGCATCATTATTTTTAAATGGCCTAGCCCAGTGATCTGCAAACTGCGGCCCCTTGAGTGTGGCTCTTCCACAAAATACCACGTGTGGGCGCGCACGTACAGTGCGATTGAAACTTCGTGGCCACACTCAAGGGGCCAAAGAGCCACATGTGGCTCGCGAGCCACAGTTTGCCAACCACTGGCCTAGCCCCTTCTTTTACAGCTCTCATTTCCCTTTAGAGTTACAAGGAGAGAAACCAGAGAAAGCCACTTGAGAATGGCAGGAAGCAAAGGGCGAAGCGTATCATTTGTACATAATCCGTATCGGACTATTTATTGTGAACCTAGAGTGAGCTGTCCCACTGGTACCCATTTTAATAACAATGGAATATCTGCATGCAATCTTTATGAGGCACTTTGTGAATTGCAATGAAAAGAGGCCACAGATCTTTGCACATAAAAGAAAACGTGGAAAGAGTTCCTGGCGAGGCGTCCGTTCCTCACACACAAAAAACCTCGTGTTTCTAATCTCATTTCATAAGGCAAATGCTTTTCTTTTTCAACAGAGGAATTCAAGGGCTCCACCTTCGTGGAGCTGATGAAGAAGGAAGGCACCACCCTGGGACTGACCGTGTCGGGCGGAGTGGATAAGGACGGCAAGCCCAGAGTCTCTAACCTGCGGCAAGGAGGCATTGCAGCCAGGTAACCTCATCCCGGGAGGTGTGGGCAAAGGGACACGGGGTGAAATTAACTCAAACACTAAAGCTCCCCCAGAGAAGGTCACCGATTAATGAACGACAGCTGCCGTGCGCGGGGCGGAGGCGCGCCGGGGCGTGGTTCAGGGTGTGGCTTTTTTTGGCCTGTGCCCGAGTCACCCAGGAGGTCAACTCAGGAGCAGCCAGGCCCTCGTGAGATTTTAATGTTAAAACCCCTGTATGGCTGCAGTCCCCAAATGTGCCACGGAGTACAGATGGGCTGCGGTGGGGATGAGACCCTTTGATCATGTACCTGGGGAACAGATGATCCAGAGAGGGCAAGGCCAGGCCCGACTCTGAGCTTCTCTGGGACAGTTTTGCGGGTCTGGCATCTTCTCCACTTTTCTACTTGTGGGATCTCCCTTCTCCTCAGACACAGAGTGATCTTCAAAAGGACAGCAGGCTTAGGCGAGGAGGTCTCACGTTGTGCTTGTTCCCGGTGAGCTGCAAATTGTGCGAGTTACTGCCAAAGGCAGCCTGTCCCGGACGCTGGGCAGGAGTGGGCTTGCTTTGTAGACAGATTCAAAAATCCGCCTCCGGAAGAGGGGATGGGATGGTCAGGTTCCGTTCAAAGTGAGGTTCATGTACCTTAAATCCTGGACACCAGTGCTTTTGTCCACATAATCGCCAATTAGGTTTTAGAGTGCTTGCTTTACTAAAGTGCCATTTGAAATAGTGATTACTCCAGTTGGTGAACCTGTGTGTACAATTAATTTATAAGCTTAGTCCAATTGATTGCTCCATGATCCGAGGTACTGTTTGTAAAACAGGCCGGTGTCCACACAAGCATCCTGATTTCCTTTCTTCAGGCTTTTAAGAGACGTCTTTCCACACCCGCAGCCTCCTCTTTTGTAACAGTCATGGCCAGTCCGTGATGCTCGGGCTGTGTATGTCTCCGGAGCTTCATGTGAGAACAGTGGGGGGGTGGGGGTGGAGGAATGCCATTGGCAGTTGTATTGATGCTGTAATTACTAGTAGTGCTGTGCTGGTTGTATTATTATCAATCACCAAACATTCACTGTTTAAGGCACCTACATTTTATAGGTAGTAAACCAAACTAATTTAGGATAAGGTCTCTGCCCTAAGGGGACTTATAATCTATTAGAGGAGATATGGAATAGAAAACATGAAAAGTTCAATAATAATAACATCGCATAATAGTGAAAAGCGACAACAGGAGTTGTCACAGAGCAGTCGGCGGTTAAGTTGCCCAGTGAGTGTCAGTAAACCCGAGGTAACTGTGGCAGCATGTCCGGCAGGCTGCAGCGGATTAGGGAGGCTCGCTGAAAAAGGAATGATTGGAGCTGAATTTATATAAAATAAATGAATTAGGTATTTCTATTTGGGGAGAAAATATTATTGAAGGTCCTAATTTTAAGTCCTATCATTTGTCTCGCTGCTTGCTCTTGGCTTACAAGTAGAGTTTGACTAAAAGCCCACAAGTAGCCGGGGTTCTATTATGGTGGTAAAAAGAAACAAGAATGTTACCGAAATGTAGTATTTTTGTTATAATTTCTCCTTCACCAATACTCTTCTTTGTCATTCACGTTGTAAGCAGTAAATAGCAAAACAAGCTGATGCTTTCCTTAACAAATTCCCAGCGAAGATATTGAAAGCTGTGACATGTCCAAAAGACAGGTGGCAAAATGGGGAAGAATGTGAAGAAAGGAAAAATCCTGGTGTGTCCAGGATCTGGATAATTTACCCCCCTGCACCCCCAGATAGCCAATCCTTTATGACCAGAGTAACTAAAAATAATATTCTGTATTTTGTTTCATGATTCTCTCTAAAAACAGAAGAGGCAAAGGGTTGGGGGGAAAATCAGAGACAGCCACAGATCCAGAGCAAGACTTCTAAAGGCTAACAGTCAGCATGAGTAAGAGGGGTCCGTGGACTCTCGCATCCACCTGGCTGTATTCCCACTCCCAGGACCAGCCATAGCCCAGGAGGCCGGGACTGCTGCTCCGTGGGTCTGGTGTGATAATCATGAAGGGAACGTGGAAATGCAGTCAGACAGGCCTGTGGAGAGGATGGGTCCACTGAGGCGACATCCCCTATTTTGCAGAAGTGACCAGCTGGATGTGGGTGACTACATCAAAGCCGTGAATGGGATCAACCTGGCCAAGTTCCGCCATGATGAGATCATCAGTTTGCTGAAGAACGTGGGGGAGAGAGTGGTTCTTGAAGTCGAGTATGAGCTGCCGCCAGTCTGTAAGTAATTGTCACCCAAGGCAGAACGGCCGCACCACGTTTTTGCCTAAAAGGTTGTTTCTTATTTTCTTCCTTTTTGCCATCATTGTCTCATTACTGGGATGGCAGAGCATAGTTTCTTGATATTTAAAAATTATCTGAGCCCTAGTTGGTTTGGCTCAGTGGATAGAGTGTCGGCCTGGGGACTGATGGGTCCCGGGTTCAATTCCAGTCAAGGGCACATATCTCGGTTGCAGGCTCCCAGCCCTGGTGGGGGCATGCGGGAGGCAACCAATTGATGTGTCTCTCTCACATCGGTGTTTCTCTCTGTCTCTCCCTCTCATTTCCACTATCTCTAAAAATCAATGGAAAAAATATCCTCAGGTGAGGATTAAAAATAATAGTAATTATTTGAATTGATAAGCTCATAACCTGCTCAGGAAGAATTGAAAAGAGTGTTGATATCAATGAAATTATATAGAACTTGCTTTCTATTAAGGTGATCTGTGAACATTGTATATGCCAGTTAAGCTATTTTAATAAAGAGTAACCATCTTTGTAAGTTCTGTGCATTAAGTTCCAGCCAGGCCTTGTACTTAGTGTCGAGGTTTAGGAGAAGAATGTTTAATATTGATTCTTTATAGTTGTGTTAATTTCTGAATCATGAAAATTGATTTAGAACACATTATTGTCAAGTAATAATAATAATAATAATAATAATGTAACAAGAGCAGCCAACACATTTTGAGAACTTATAAATGTCTGACATTATATGGAACCTGACTTGCATTGATACATTTATTTCTCATCACAAGGACAGTCAGCATAGCTGAGCTGAACTCCAGTGTCAGTAGCCAAAACTGAGACCCAGAAAGCTTAAGTAACTTTCTCAAAGGCACGTAGATAGTAAAAAGCGGAGTTAGAATTCCAGCTCCACTTTTTACTACCTATGTGCCTTTGAGAAAGTTACTTAAGCTTTCTGGGTCTCAGTTTCGGCATCTGGAAAATGGGCATATTAGTTACTACTCATAGATCTGTTGTGAGGATTAAATGAGTAAGTATTTGTAATGCACTTAGAACCGTGGTCGGCAAACCGTGGCTCTCGAGCCACATGCGGCTCTTTGGCCCCTTGAGTGTGGCTCTTCCACAAAATACCACGTGCGGGTGCGCACATACAGTGCGATTGAAACTTCGTGGCCCATGCGCAGAAGTCGGTATTTTGTGGAAGAGCCGGTATTTCGTGGAAGAGCCACACTCAAGGGGCCAAAGAGCCGCATGTGGCTCGCAAGCTGTTTGCTGAGCCGCAGTTTGCCGACCACTGACTGAGAACAATAAACATTTTTTGGTAAATAATAAATACACAAATTAATCAACACTCAAGATAGGCATTATTATCATTATTATTCTCACTCTACAGAGGCTTAAGTTAATATCTTTCCCAAATGAGTAAGCAGCAAAGTCAGTATCTGAACTCAGGCTCCCTGACTCCAAAGTCCATATGCTTCTTCAGTGTGAGGTATACCTTACGCTATGTATTACTGCTGCCCTACCTTTAAGCTGTGCTATTCTACAACCACCTCTCCTTCTATTAAGCTATTAACAGGGATGCTATTCTGAGAAAATTCTTTGCTTTTCGGTCCTGGTGAGAACTTAGACTGAATATTAATACTCAATTACAATGTATTTGTTCAGCAATAATTTATTGATCATTTATTAAGTTCTAGCCACCACTATGTACATTGGTGGAGTTTACATTCTAATGGGAAGACAGACAACAAGATAAAACCACAATAAATAAGTTAATTATATAGCATGAATGCCGTGGGAAAAAGAAAGAGCAAGGAGAGGGGTTGGAGTGCTGGCGTGGGATTTCAATTTAAATAGGATAGTTAGGAACAGCTTCTCTTGGAAACTTACATTAGTCAGTGACTGAAAGAGGTGAGAAAGTTGGCTATGTGGATTTCAGGGGGAAGAGAATTGCAGAAAGATGGAACAGCCAGTGCTAAGATCCAAGAGCAGGAATATATCTGGAGTTGTTCTAGAAACATTAGGAAGGGCAGTGTGGCTATAGCAGAGTGAGCATGAAGAGAAGTAGGAGAGGAGGTCAGAATGTAAAGGATGAGGTACTATTGTAGACCATTGGACAGACCTTAAATTTTGCTCTGAATGATATAGGGGCAGAGGAGTGACATGACCTGGTTTATATTTCCGAAGGCTCCCTTTGGCCGCTGTGTGAGAATAGACTGCCATGGCAAAGGTAGAAGCTAAGTCACCGGTTGGGGGGCTATAACAGTGATCCAGGTGAGAGGTGGTGGTGGAGAAGCACCATCACATTCCTTTTTTTATGTTTTTATTGATTTTTAGAGATAAAGGAAGGGAGAGGGTTAAGAGAAACATCAACATGAGAGCAAAACATCAGTCGGCTGCCTCCTGCATGCACCCAACAGGGGACCGAACCCACAACCTGGGCCTGGGCCCTGACCGGGAATTGAACCAGTCACCTTTTGGTGCATGGTCTGACACTCAACCAGCTGAGCCACATCAGCCAGGGCCCATCACATTCAGGATCTTCTGACAGATTTGACGTGGGTTGCACAGAAATAGAGTCAAGGGCCATCCCAGACATTGAGCCTGAGCAACCGGAGGATGGAGTTGCCATGAATGAGGTGGCTAAGAAGGTGGGCAGAGTTGATTTGCGAGGGAAAGACCAGAAGTTCATTGCTTAAAATGCTGCAGTTGAGGTGCCTATTTGACATGCAAAGAAGAAATGTCAAGAGCTGGAGGTCTGGCTTGGAGTTTGGGAGAAAGATCTGGGCTGGAAATGTAAATTTAAGGTTAATGGGAATATAGGTGGTGGTTGTAGCTTTGGGAACAGATGACAGCACTTGGGGAGTGAGTATACATAACCAATCACCAGTTCTTGTACTTAATATAAAATCTAACACCAAAAATTTAACAGTGATTTTATAACAAAATCAATAGAAGTCTGTGTTCAGAACTCTTGCCAACATTTTTCATTTTCAGCAAGGGAAGGCAATGAAATCCAGTGTAGAGAGCTTGGACTGTGTCACTGCTTAAGTGTCAGTTTTTCCCCTTTCTAGCTTTGTGACCTTGGACATGCTATTTAAACTCTCTGAGCCTTGGGTTTCTTATCTACAAAGTGGCTATCATAGATGTAAAATTTTTCTAAGAATTCAAGGCTATAATCTCGTAAAGTATTTAGATCATTACCAGGTATTCAATAAGCCATAGTACATTAGTGATTATTGCCATTTTTATTATTATTACACTGAAAGTACTATGTTTTCTTGAACTTTAAAAGAGTCTGTTTGCTTTGAAATTGCTACTTCAAACCAATGCCAAGGAGTTAAGAGAAGCCAGATATCTAGAGCTAATGCTCTTTGACTTAGCATTTTTACTCCACTGGGGATATGAAAATCAATAAAACACAATCTCTTCCTAAAAGGAACTCTTAGGATAGCTTTCCAGGGCTAAGGACAGTAGAGGAGATTTGCCAAGTTTATGGGTGATCCAGAGCTGGGGGTTTCTGGGAATATCTGAAGGAGGTTATGCAAGTCCAGTCGGAAGAGGAACTTTCTAGGCAGAGCATAATGCAAGGAGGTCAGAACACAGCCCAGTGCATGGTTTGAACTACACACAGATTGGAGTTGCTGGAGCCCACGGAGAAAAACAGAGAGGCCTGGAGGGCTGAGAGGACTGAGGCCAGCAACAGCAACAGGAATAAAACAATGGGGGCCATGTGAGCCATGGGGGTGGATCTTGGATGGCATCAAGTAGGCAATGAAGCGCCTTTGAAGTCTTATAAAGCCAAGGAATGGCATCGCCAGACCTGAGTTTTTAGACTTATCATTTTAAAAACCCAAATGGAGTATATATCAGAAGCTATAAGCCGAAGGCTGTTACAGTTTTCCAAAAGAGAGGTGATATCCTGAATAAATATAGCATCCATAGAGTTAAAGGGGAGAGGGTGGGTATCAGACATATCAGGGGTTAAAACCTATCATGACTTGTGATTATACCAGCATTTCCTTCTGCATGCAATAAGTCTGATGGGAAATAGGAAAATTATTTTTAAACACAAAAGTGTGAATTTTAGAGTAGATAGATAGGAGAGGTCTGTTCTCCAAGGATTATCTCTGTCATTTTCTATTATGTTTGGATAAATTAATAAGATCTTTGTGTTCAGCGAGGTTGAAGGAATTAATACGCCTCCCCTTCACTGTGCTCAGGCAGCCCAAGCAGGAGCAAGCCGCCAGCAGTGAGACCCCGGGGGAGCACTGGCTGCTGAAGGCAGATCGCCTGAGGCCGAGATTGCTAACTCTTTCACTAATCACAGCAATCTGAGCCTCAGCCAACCACCCCCCTCTCATCCAGTCTAGAAAAAAGTGGAAGGGTGTGTGTGTGTGTTGTGTGTGTGTGATCTGATAGATGAAAGATGGAACTTTGATCTTGGGAAAACCACTTCCCTTTTCTAAGATTCCATTTCTTTCTTTTTAATTTCTCTATCCTCTCTGGAGGCTATGTTTTTATTGATTTTTAGAGATAGAGGAAGAGAGAGAGAAAGAGAGAGAGGTGAGAGAGAAACGTCTATCATTGATTGGCTCTCTCCCTTACATGCCTAGACTGGGGATTGAACCTGCAACCTAAGTATGTGCCCTGACCAGGAATTGAACCTGAAACCTTTTGGTGTACAGGATGACGCTCTAATCTACTGAGCCACCTGGCCAGGGCAAGATTCAGTGTCTTTATGAAAATGAAATGGTCCATCTACATAAGCTATAAAGTTCTTTTTGACTTTAAAATTATGTGATGGTTTGAGACTGTATTTAGAAAGAAAATTCCAAACAGTATCAGGTGTTTATGTATTAAAGTCTAGAGCACTGCCTTCAAATTTTTTTTAGCATATAACCGCTAAAGAATTTTGAAATATTATATAATCCTCACCCATCTTTTTAGTTAACACCTAAAATTCTTTATCCATAAAGCTTAAATATTTCAAAAAGATTTATTTTTTTGGCATGATTTTCTTTATATGTCTTAAGTACTATTTTATTGAAACTTGGAGCTACATATTTTATGGAATATGTCTTATTTTATGGAAAATACAGCAGAGGGTTGGCAAAGGCAATCCTCACTGTTAAACCATCAGCTAAATCAGACTAGCTTTCTATCAGGAGTTCTTCATTAATTCAAATAAATGTGTTGAAGCATGTCTCTGTGACAGCCTTCTTCTCAATTCTTATTCTAAGAGAGGTAGATAGATGATGATGATGATGATGATGATGATGATGATGATGATGATGTGATGGTGGTGGTGGTGGTGGTAGTGGGCAGGAGCAGTCTCAGATCTCTTCCGCCTGGATCATTCTGGGATTCTGTCTGAAGGAGCAGCAGCTCCCAGGGAAAGCTCTTCCAGTGGCAGTGGTAGTGGAAAAACACTTCCAATCACTGCTCACACTCTTAACATTCCATTGGCCAAAGCAAGTCACATGGGCAAGCCTAACATAATGAGGTGGGAAAGAACACAATTCCGATTCCCCTGTTCAGGTAGGAGTTGAGGAGTCAGGGAAGTAGTATTTAATTTAGAAAAATATAATTTACCATAGTAAATTCATATGAATACACATGTAGTACATATAGAAACAAAGGACAACAGTACAACTAAAATACCAAGGAGAAGTATTTCTTCACTGTGAAATTGGTTTCTACCTAGCCCTTCTGTGTACCAGATATGATTCTTTGGGGAAACCATTTAATTGGGTGTTTATGTCCACATACACACATGTAAAATTCACATGGCAATATAAAATATCTTGGTTCTGAATATAAAAATGTAGTCACCCAGAACCAATCATACAAATAAAAATTATAAAGACCAGCCTGGCCAGTGTTGCTCAGTGGTTAAGCATCGACCTATGAACCAGGAGGTCACAGTTCAATTCCCAGTCAGGTCACATGCCTGGGTGTCAAGCTCGATCTGCAGTAGGGGGCATGCAGGACAGGAGACAGCCGATCAATGATTCTCTCTCATCATTGATGTGTCTATCTTTCCTTCTCTGTTCCTCTCTCTGAAATCAATAAAAAAATTATAAAGACCAAATCTATTTCATTAAGTATATTAAAATGTAGTCAACATTCACATTTACCTTTGTAAATAATGAACATCATTAGTGTGAATAACCTAAAGCTGTAGATAATCCTAAAAGTCTTTATATTAACGTTAGATCTGATTGTAAGATTTGGTGGTCAGCTAGATTTAGCTCAAGCAAAATTAAAATTACAGTGCTTTGCCTTCCACAGCAGACACCCAGCCAACAAGGACAGGTGGCCCAGAATTAGATTTAGTTGTATATAATTGAAAGTTGATTTAATGATTAAGTGAAATAATATTTGCAAACTACTTTGCAGAATTCCTGGCACACAATAGAAGCTCATGAATTATTTCTCCCTGTATCTTTTCCTTTTCTCCCTTACCAATAGAACAAAAAGCTCATGTGCTTAATCAATTTCTTAGAAGTGGATCATAGAAATAAGAAAACATTTGGTTTGAACTCAAATTGTTTATTTAATTAAATCTGTATCTCAATGGTTTCGGCTAGTTGTATATACTGACCTAGCTGATTAGAATAAAATGAAATTCCCCTGAGAGCAAGAATATGACATTTAATTAAATCAGCAATGCACAAAAACATTTGGTCAGCTGTAGGTTTATGTTTTTCGGCAGATCCAAGTTCTTATTGCACTTTATGTCCCAGCTAGATGTGTGCTGCTTTGTGAATTTAGCTGAGTGCTTTACATAATCATGTCCGTTCCTTTGAGGATTCAGAATTTCTAGTAAAATAATTGTAATTAATACTTAATTAAAGCTATCTCCTATTTCTGTTATGGCAAGAAGTATTATTTTTTAAATGCCTTAAATCATGTCTATATATTTCTTGTTGATAGTTTTATACACTATAACCTTCAAGATCTAGTAACAATGTAAAAATGTCATTGATCATGAAAATAACATTAGATAAGTAGATATCATTGTAAAAATTTAATACAAGGATCTAAGACCATCAAATTCTATACTTTGCAAACTTTTCTGTCTCCATGAGTAAAACCATTTTTATATCCTAATGATGAAATGTTAATTTGTGGATTTTTTTTGTTTTTAATTCACCAATAGTGTACTATATAACAGAATTATTCACCAGTTTTTTTTAAAGCAGTCTTAGAGAATAGTGTAGTGACCACACCTCCACACAATTTATAACCTCATACTGTGTGTAATATAATTAGAGATTGCAACTTGGAAATGTAATTTCATTTTGTGAAATGAGAGCAATAAACAGGAAAACATGATATCAAATAAAATTAAGTGGATCTTTATTTTATTAGTCAGTAGTAATATTTTGAATGTACTTAGGATTTCTTTTGCCCTCCAAGTTTCATTTGTGTTGTTGATGTTTTTGTTTAATTGCTTTGCATCATGTCAAAAAAATCTATTTGTATCAGCCTAATCTTTTAATAGCAATTTGAGAATATTACTTTTTCTTCCTTTGCTAGCTGCAAAAATAAATACATTACTTGTTTCATTAGTTTTACACAAATCATATTGTTTTTGCTTTTCACAAAGGAAAAACGATTCTATTTATCATATGAAAAGTGTCTCTCTTGTTCTATGGAGTTTCAACAATGTGAATATTACCCTCTACCTAGAAATTGGCTACACAAGAGAAAAAGAAGTGCCTGTGATTTTGATTCCACTTGAATCTGTATGAGTTGTGTGTGCAGATGACTCTTATGGTATTTGTATGTTATTCCAGTTATTTTTTCTAACATTTCTTTGAAAACAAATTATTGCTGTTTTAATACTCAAAGCAATAATTATTTGCAACAGGAATCTGCAATATTACATGCCACATGAAATAATATAGAAATGTTATTATGACTTAAACTTATGCTTGCCTGTCTCTTTTCTACATTCAGCTGTCCAAGGATCGAGTGTTATTTTCCGAACAGTGGAGGTCACATTACATAAAGAAGGCAATACCTTTGGTTTTGTAATACGAGGTAGGTGATGGTTTAATAAACCGTCAGATATTTTTGGAGAATTTGTCAGTGAAATATTGGGAGTGAACTAGAAAGTCATCCTCAAAAACCCTGATCTTTCCAGCACATAAAGTCACTTTATAGTATTTGCACCCATTCTTTCTTTCTTTTTTATTGAATTAATTGGAGTCACACTGGTTAAGAAAATTATACGGGTTTCAGTGGCACAGTTTCCATAACACATCATCTATAAGCTGTATTATATGTTCACCACCCAAGTCAAGACTCCTTCCATCACCAGTTATCCCTCTATGGCTCTCCTCTCCCTCCCCCTCCCACCAACCCCTCTTGCCCCAGCAATCACCACACTGTTGTCGGTATCCATAAGCTCTTTCTCTTCTTCTTTTCTTCTTTTTTGCTCAATCCCTCCACCTCCCCAACCCCCCGCCACCCCCTGACAGCTGTCAGCCTGCTCTCTATCAATGAATCTATCTCTATTTTGCTTGTTAGTTCATTTTCTTTAAAGAAATAAGGCAGCAGTGAGTGGGAATCAAAGTGGAATCCAAATGACCTAGCTTTATTTTCAGCCTGTTAACACAGAGCCAAGAAGTCATGTCTGTAAACCTTATCTGTTCACAGTCATCCTTCTTATTTGCCACTTTTCAATACACCTTTTACCTTCCCTTTATACTCTTCTATATCCCTGAGTCAAAACTGTAGATGAGTGATGGTTGCCAGAGGGGAAAGGATAGGGGGATGAGCAAAAAAGAAGTGGAATAAGAAGAACAAATTATAAAATAAATAAGTCACAGGAATATAACGTAAAGCATAGGGAATATAGTCAATAATATTGTAATAACTTTGCATGGTGCCAGATCATTATTGCACTTAATCATGTGATAAATTTGTTAGGTATATAGATGTTAAATAATTATGTTGTATAGTTAATGTACAATATTATATTACTATATAATATTGTACATTAACTGTACTCTAATTTTTTTAAAGATAAAGAACAAAAATTTTAAAAAGTCATGTTGTCATAAATCCCTGATTTCATAATCTAAATAAAGATTATTGTTTCCCTTGGGAAAAAATGTTGATGTGATGAGTATGACTTGATTTGATTTAATACACTAGGATTAAGCAACTTTTATTCTCTTATTTTAATACATTTTGTTATAGCTTTCTAAAGATGAATTGATAATCTAATTCCTTGGCACCTTTGTACATCAGCTCAACTCATCTTATTATGGGATGAGATGACATTAATAATAAATATTTTGAGTGATTCCAACTTGTCTATAAAACCCTTAATTCTGAGCTGTAATTTTGGATTTTAACATTCTGTTTTTCTCATTAGCAGCTTTATTTCTTAAAGACTGCACAGACATTAACAACTCATAAATCCTAGTGTGAAAGTGAGGGAACTATATAGGCATCAGGAATCTTTAAAGATTTGACATTTCTTGATTTATTTTTATCTATTATATGTTTTATTTCATCAGGATCAAAATTCTACCCAGTTTATTAAAACATTAATTAAAAGTAACTAAATATCTTAATAAATTTACAAACATCAAGGAAAAAATGAGCTGTGTTCAGTCCTATAGACTTACCTTAAATGACTGAGCAATAGATTTAAGCATTAGATTTCATTCTGTGTTAGTCATGTAGCAAATCAGTCAATCAAATATTTATTAAAGATTCGTCAACATGTCAGCATAGGGCCAAGTACTCTGGAGTCATAAGACAGGACCCCTATCTACAGTCAATTACAGCTCAGTGAATTTTAGACATAAGTTGATTAAGTGCCCAAGTGAGTGGTAAAGAAAATGGGCAACGAGGAGCTCACTGAGTGGTTTAGACCAGTTGTGATTGCATTTTTCTGACCAGGTCCTATTTTTAGATGAAACAAGAAGATCGATTCACCCTCATCTTTTACCTTAACCATTTCCAAATTTCTGTGTAAGAGAACTAGTAGATGAATGTAATGAAAAGTCAGTTTACAAGTAATTTTAGCACGAGGTGGTGTATACAGATCTGTTTCTGCAATATAGGTATGAAAGGAGGCACTTGATCACATGCCTACACGCCTAATTATTGGAAAGCTGTAGTGAAAGTTTTGCTGGTTCAAATATTTATCACTAGTTGCTGTATGGTTAATCAATAACCAATCAAATTGCTAATGAAAAAGCTAAACCAACAGTAATTTAGCATCAAGAACTAAAAAAAAAAAGTAATTGAAATCCACAGCCACCTCAAGACAACTGATGATATAATGTTAACAAAATCTCCTTCACACAATTTGCAGGAATTTTGAACATCTGTCTGCGTGTGCATGCCTCGTAAGAGTTTTTTTGTATGCGGCTGGAATACTACCTGGTACATTGTAGGCACTTAATAAATGAAGGAATAAATATTGAACGTTGCCTAGATTTATGTGGACATCAGATTTCTTAGTATTATACTAATTTTTAAAATGTATTTATTGTTGACAGTATTACAGATGTCTCCCATTTCCCTCCCTTTGTACTCCTCCACCCAGTCCCCTGTCCCACCCTAGGCCTTCTCCACACTACTGTCTGTGTCCATGGGCTATGCATATTTGCATATACGTTCTTTGGCTATTCTCTTCCCATCCTCTCCTCCCCCTCCACTCTGAGAGATGTCAGTCCATTCCATGCATCCATGCCTCTGGACCTATTTTGTTTGTCAGTTTATTTTGTTCACATATAAGTGAGATCATGTGATATTTGTCTTTCTCTTAATGAACCCATTTTAGTTTATGGGTGACACATTTTTGTAGGCTTTAATAACTCCCTTACTGAATTGGTTAAACATAAAAGTTTGTTTAACTTTTGCCCCAGCTGGTTTGGCTCACTGGATGGAGCGTCGGCCTGCGGACTGAAGGGTCCCAGGTTCGATTCCGGTCAAGGGCATGTACCTTGGTTGCAGGCACATCCCCATTGCGGGGTGTGCAGGAGGCAGCTGATCGATGCTTCTCTCTCATCGATGTTTCTAACTCTCTATCCCTCTCCCTTCCTCTCTGTAAAAAATCAATAAAATATATTTTTTTAAAAAGTTTGTTTAACTTTTTTGCATAATTTTTCAATGAAGGACAAATAAACAACATATCAATTTGAGATCTGTCTGGAGGGTCCTTCATGCTGAAAAAAAGGGTCACCATCCACCCTTTAGGAATCATTGGTTAATCACAAAAAGAATTGCAGAGTGAGACAGTGGGTAAATGTCATCATGGCAAATAATAGTTTATAGTTGCATAAATATTGAGCTAAACTTAAATCAAAGGAGACGACCAGGACATTCAGAAAGGAGGGGAAGATTTTGCAGATGGAGCATATTCATTTAGTTAAGGAGAATTCTTTCTTAACCAGTTAAAGTGGGTCTTAGAACAATAAAACTGGCTTTGAGCTACTGAATGGAATTACATTTCTAATGGTATGTCACAGGTTCTAAAAACCTTGGCTCACCAAACAATAGAACCTTTCATCCATAGAATGAAAAATGATGTTCTTGCCTAGATCTTGGAAAATTAAATTTCAGTTAACTCCCTTACCACCAAGCTACAGGAGTTGGTCTGGGCTGATAGGAATATCACTCTGCCATAAGTTACTTTTCACTTTAGACCAGGAAACTTTTTCTAGTCACTCTCAACTATAAAATTGTAGGTAGATGTATTCATCTAATGTATGGAGCCTGATATTCAGATTTGGTTTGCACAGTGGCCCTGCCTGGCCTTGATACTTTTACAAAAATATCCCAGGTGGGTGATGCTAGTGTGCAGCCAGGATTGAGAGTACCACTGGTCTCCGAGTGGTTTCTGTTTTGCTTGGCATCACCAAACTTCTGGATCCTAAGCCAGTCACTAAATTTGGTTCATCATTTCAAGTACTGATAAAATGTCATATATCATGAAATTTAGAGCTATCTCTCTCATACTTTAATATGCATTCACTGGTATATATTTGAATTTAGACCTCCAAATCAAAATTATGGAAAAGTTTCTTGCTGTCTTCAGGCCCAATCCTTTTCTAAATCAATACTGCTTCTGGGGAAAGCAAACCTATCTATTAATGATCACCTTGCAAATGAGAAGTTACATAATAGTATTTTTCTCTTAGGCTAGGTTCTTTTTTAAAAAAAAATCTTTGGCCGAAACCGGTTTGGCTCAGTGGATAGAGCATCGGCCTGCGGACTGAAAGGTCCCAGGTTCGATTCCGGTCAAGGGCATGTACCTGGGTTGCGGGCACATCCCCAGTGGGAGATGTGCAGGAGGCAGCTGATCGATGTTTCTCTCTCATCGATGTTTCTAACTCTATCGCTCTCTCCTCTCTGTAAAAAATCAATAAAATATATATATTTTAAAAAAAATCTTTGTTGCTGAAAGTATTACATATGTCCCCTTTTTTTTGCCCATTGATCCCTTCTAGCCTGCCCCTGCCCCCTGCCCCAGGCCTTTGCACACTATTGTCTGTGTCCATGGGTTATGCATACAAGCTTGAACATTTTTGTTTTATTTTTTAAATCTTTATTGTTGAAAGTATTACATATGTCCCCTTCCCCCCCCCTCCCTTGACCTCTTCTAGCCTGCCCCTGCCTCCCGCCTCAGGCCTTCACCACCCTATTGTCTAAGTCCACAGGTTATGCATATATGCATTCAAGTTCTTTGGTTGATCTCTTTTCACTCACCCACCCTCCCTGCCTTTCCTCTGAGATTCAACAGTCTATTCCATGCTTCTATGTCTCTGGATCTATTTTGTTCATCAGTTTACTTTCTTTAAGTTGACCTCCCTACCTGTGCCAAGCTTGGGAAATGTCAGTCTGTTCTACCAGGCAGACATTAAGGAACGACAACTTGGCAGTAACATTCATATTAATCACATAATGCAAACTAGAGTCCACCCAGATGGGCAGCCAGGGTGGTGATAGATGAGGAAGTCAGGTCAGATGAAGGACAGTAAGAAACTGGAAATGTTCAGCCTTAAGAAGATGAGACTTAGCAGTATAATCACTATTTTCCACTTTCAGGAAACACTTGTAGAAGAGAGCATACTTTTGTATGCATGCATATAAGCATATCCAATGGACATAAGACACTGGGGGGTAGGGGAGGCCAGGGGATTGTCAAGGGCGGGGAAAAAAAGGACACATATGTAATACCCTTTGTAATACTTTAAGCAATAAAAAAATTAAAAAACCTACAGGGGATCTAGCCCGCAACCTGGGCATGTGACTTGACCAAGAATTGAACTGTGAACTCCTGGTTTATAGGTCAACGCTCAACCACTGACCCACACTGGCTGGGTGAGGATATACATTTTTCTTTTACTGCTGTAGATAACAGAACAGAGATGCAAGGATGAAAGTTGAAGGAAGCTAAATGAAAGATGAATATTAAGAAGAACCTTCTGGTGTCTGTCCATATGTGGAATGGGCTGCCTCCAATCTAGTGAGCAGAACAAGGGGTGGGTCTCGAGTGGATGCTGGGGGAGCACAGATTAAACAAGTTGTACAAAGGGGTCCTAGATAAAAGGAGGATTTTCAATAAATTACCTTCTATCTCAAAGCTTCTATATTTCTAAAAATTATTGATGGGAAATGTTTTATACAAAATTAAAATTCCCATTTAGCTTTGCGATTGGCTTGACATAGTCTGCCAAATCTACCCCCGGAATTTTGAACATGCCAATTTAATGAAGACCACTTCAGCCACTTGAATTTTTTTCTTTCTTTTTTAAATACTTGGATGATTTTCTTTTACTTCAGGTTTTTCTTCCTGTATGTCAGGTTGTAGACCTACTCACCTGCCTCACAGCCCAGGTTAATTAGCGCCAGGTCTCCCCACCGGCACTTTGTTTATAACTGGCAGCTGTTCTCATCGGGCTAGGACTTGATAATGCGCTGATTCCCTTGTCACACCAGTAGTTCAGTATTTTATGTCACCTGTAATTACAGTCATATATTTATTGAGAGGTGAAGAAATGATGACTTCTAACACACTCTATGTAAAATGAGTAAGATTTTTGAGGCGACTATATGCCAGAAGAAAAATAATTTGCATTTTCCTCCACACATCAACAAAAGTTCTCAGCTGGCATTTTGTAAGTGAAGGTTTTTAGTGAAAGAAGCTGTATTTCTTTTCGTTGCCAGGGGGAGCACACGATGACAGAAATAAATCTCGTCCCGTTGTGATAACATGTGTTCGTCCTGGAGGGCCTGCTGACAGGTAAGCTCCATCTTTCTGTGTCACTATCCAAACAGATTAATAAAGCTTAGGGACTTTGGCAGAGACGTTGATGGGTTATAAATTTCATAGCATAAGATAGATAGTAACTAAATATGTGAGAATGTGAAAAGTGAATTAGTTTAGGCTGTGGAATCAAAAGAAAGGCTTGACTCTAGATGCCACACGTACTGCCCTGTCTTTGGCAAGTGAGTCAACAGTTCTGAGCTCAGTTTCCTCCTTTGTGAAAGGGAGAGAACAGCTAGCTTTCAAGGTTTTCCGTTTTATCAACAACTGTTGCTTTGGGTGCATTGCAAGGGACTGGCCGTGCTGTGGCTCTGGGATAAAAGGCAGCTGGTACCTTGAAGGCAGGCACTTGAGGGGCATCAGCTCCTATTGCTAATCTCCTGATCTGGAAAGACAGGTGGTGGTGGTCTGCGCCTTACTATTAGCAACATCCTTATCATTATTATTAGTCCCTCTGTTGATGATGAGGTATGTCAGAGGGAAGTAATTTTTAATAAAATGAAGTATTGTTGGTCTCTAGTGCTTTCTTTTCCTGGTTAATTTGACTACCTGAAGGATAGCTCCTTCAGCTTTCATCTCATAAACCTTGGGGGGATCCCAAGTAAAATCACAACTTAGGTATCTCAGGAGATACTTATCTTTGTATTCATTTCCACAGCAAAAGGGGAGCCCATAATAGTGGGGGAACATAACTCCTGCCATTACATATTGTGGAAAGAAAGGTGGGAGAAAAGTGCACTGGTGACCCCTGACCCCACTATGTTTCAGACCAGGAAAATTGTTTAAAACCTTTCCTTAAGCAATAGAAATGGTGATAGTAATCAGTGCTACTCATTGAGCACTTACCATGTGCCAGAAACTGTGCGAAGTGCTTGGCAGACATTACCTTATTTTATGCTCACAACCACCCATGAAATGAAGTATTTGTATCTACAGTTATAGACGACAAAACTGAGGCCCATCATGGTTACTGACTTCTCAACTAGTACATCGAAGAGCTGAGCTAGTGTGGGTTTATTTTCCTTCAATGCTCATACTGTGAGCTCATATATTTTGAAAAAGTTAATATTTAATATAAAATAAGAGGATATGAAGACACTGGTTTTTCACTTGTGCTAAAATATATTTGTTTCCAGAGAATAATACAAAGTCAGATTTTCCAGGGAAATGTTGCCTTTTTCCTGTGGGGAAGCATGAGACTTGATTGGAAAGTTTGTAAGGAGGACATTCTGAGAAAAGGGAAGTGTGTGGAAGGCCGCCTGCCCTGTTTATCGGAATTCCGACTTAGAGGAGACTTGGGGAGTGTCGAAGGCGGCGCCCCTGATTATTCCTTGACCTTTCCAAACAAGTCTGTGCACATGCAGACACCCTGGTGTTTACTGGAACCCTTATGCTTAATCCCTGGATGCCCTTGCCTAGAGGACAATGTAAACACATGTGTCCTCCCAAGATTACTCACCCTATTGATTGTATCTAAAGATAAAAACTGCAATAAAAGCCTGATGAGACAGGCACGGGCTGTCTAGTTACTTTAGCCAGACAGTCCCTTAGCCCTCTCTTTCACAGCAAATGTTGTGTTGGAGTAATCCATTCATCAATCGCTCAGGGTCTGCAGGTCAGCGCCGGCATTTTCCCTTCTCATGCTTTTTCGTTTCTTGATTACTACCATTTAGAGATGGAGTCAACAGAAACATCAGAAGCAAGCTAGTTTGTGAGCAACAAATTACCAAATTAATGTAGGACTAAAGGAAATCTAAGAATTTAAGATAAACATTTAAAGTCAAAACAGAGCATTATATAGCTGAGAGATAGTTAAGAGGTTGTTTTTATTCTTCCCAAATCCTAGACTCGTGCCCCCCCGCCCCCAATTTGCTTTTCTCATCGCTGTGACCATCCCTGAGGCAGGATGGTTATGATCTGGAAGCCGTGCCCTAGTGGTGTCACTAGGTCCTGAGGGATCTCTCCCAGTGCCCTGAGTGTCTGTGGTCCCAGCAGGGAGAATGGTATTTGCCTGACTTTTCCAGTGAATGTGAAACTGAATCAATTTAACGATCGCCAAATGGCCTTATAAATCAGTAGGAAATTTTATAGACTAGGGAAATTTTTCACCAGCATTCCTGTCCTGCTTGGGTTCACTGGTAATAAATTGAATGGAACTAGCAGGCTTTTATGCTCACCTGGCTTTGGGAAAATAGGTGAATGCTGTTTCCTGGACTCTAATAAATCATCTTCAGACATGTGGGCAAAAATCCAGGAGAGAGAAATGTGCCTTCATTACTCTTGTACCCCAAGAGTTAACTGCGGGTGACTTAGTTACTTGCTAATGTGTAGTTATTCTCTTATTACTGATTTTCATATTGCAGCAATTTTCTGTTCGGGGCTACCTCTTTACTCTCCTACTGTCACAGTTGAGGCTTAAAAGGAAATGCAAATGGAGTGGATGGTAGAGTGTGTATGAAAGAACCATGTTGGCTAAGTGACTATTAATGCTAAGTAAGCCCCGTCGTGCTAAATTGCTAGAGACTGTTCCTCTGTTCTCCCTTCAGAGAGGGCACCATTAAACCTGGCGACAGGCTGCTCAGTGTGGATGGAATTCGACTCCTGGGAACCACGCATGCTGAAGCCATGAGCATTCTCAAACAGTGTGGACAAGAAGCAACGCTGCTGATAGAATATGACGTCTCAGTAATGGGTATGTCCCAGTCCTTCGGTTGTGATCCCTAAGCTGTAGTACACGTCATCATCCATCCCCGATAAACTACTTTGTAAAGAGAATGATCTGCTATGTCCTCCTGGCGCAGACAGAATTTCATCAGTACCATAGCATAACTCTGTTTGGGTTCAGGAAGAGGTGAGTGGTTCCTTTCAGCAATTTAGAGTTCTTGTGTCAATAGACTCTATAAGGAGGTCTCATTCTGTCAGCGTGTTTCACCTAGCAATCAGCATTTATATGGGGATTACCCTTTGGCGGGAAAGTAGTTTTGCCTTCCAAAGCACAGAAATAGCATTGTTAACTCAGGGGATATTTTTTTCTTTTACTCCAGAGTAAAAGTTCCCAGTAGGGGATTCCTTTCTTTTTTTGTAATGTCACAATATGAAGCCAGATAATCAGAATTAATGGAAATTGCCATTTCATCATCAGACTTAGGGACAAAGAAAGGAAATGGACATGTGATGTCATTGATTAAAATCAGAAGTTGAGTGCCCTATTCTTTCTTTCAATAGTGATTCCAATAGAAAGTAACTTTATTTCTACCCTCATAACTGTAATATAACTGGGAAGATAGTCTCATGTGGCTTTTAAATGTTAAGAGAGGGCCAAAGATTTGTGTCATGTTGGCTAAGGCAGAAAACTTATGAGAGAGTCAATTGAAACCCCGAAATTGAAGCTTAAATCGTATTGTAAGTACTTCTTACAATTATCAGACTTGATTATGTGACCTGACTTTACCTATGAGTTTATGCACAGAAAAAGAAACATATTCTATAACTTCGAACTCCTCTATTTCCCACTCTGTATGATTCATGTAGAACAGTGTTGCTTGAAAGTATTCTTAATCTGCCTCCTAGCATGAAATGTCTTAGGTCTGAGGTTCCCTAAGGGCTTAAGCTGTGGTTCTCAACCTTCTGGCCCTTTAAATACAGTTCCTCATGTTGTGACCCAACCATAAAATTATTTTCGTTGCTACTTCATAACTGTAATGTTGCTACCGTTATGAATCATAATGTAAATATCTGATATGCAGGATGGTCTTAGGCGACCCCTGTGAAAGGGTCGTTCGACCGCCAAAGGGGTCGCGACCCACAGGTTGAGAACCGCTGGCTTTAAGTGTGAGACCTAAGAAGTTCTTAGCAGGATAAATAGGATGATATGCCCTAAATATGAAGGAACTTTTCTCCCTTCGTTTATTCTTCCTTTATCTTGTCTTCCCTCCCTCTTTCGCTTTTTCTTTTGTTATATGGTTTTTAAATTAGATTTTTAGTTAGATGATTTGGCTTCTGTTCTCAATTCTACTGATTTCTGGCTGTAATTTAGACTATGTTACTTATTTCCCCATGCCTTAGTTACCTCATTTGTCAAATAGGGACTAGTAATGCCTATTTTAAAAGGTAGTTGTGCAAACAAAAATAAATTATACAAGTAAATATATTTTAAACGTTGATACAATACATTGTTAACATTAGAAATTGAAGCAGATGTTTGGCATATTTAACTCATTAGTTCAGTCTAAAAGTATTTATTGAGCTTAGTGGGAAGTACGAGGAATACAGAATAACAAACCGGTCCTGTCATTATGAAGCTCACGAGTGTTGGGGGAACAGATAGTAAACTGTAATTTACCAAACAAGCAATCATAAAATGTGATCATTACCTACCGTGAAGGGCATAAATGGGGAATAAGGGCAGACACAGGTGAGGGTTGGCAGGTTCCAATAATAGGGTAGTCATTGAAGAGGTGACAGGTAAGCTAAAACCTGAAGGCTTAGAAAGAACCAGATCCCAAACTGAAGATAACAATAGCCTGTTAAGGCCTGCAGTCTACCTCCCCAATGGGGGTGAGCAGCACTTCGAAGATTCCTCCCTGTCTCATTATTGCCAGTTGGGAGGGGATGAGGTGACTCACCTGTCTGCCTTCTCCCCAACCCACACTCACATGCTTAATGATGCTTGACAGTTTTCACACTCCAGAGTTCTCAGATATCCCCCTAATATAGGGGAAAGTAGGCCATCAGGAAGGAAACACATTAAAATGTCCTCTAAGTTGCTAGATATAAGACTAATATACAAAACATTTCTCTGTAGCAACCAAAAACAGAAAGTTAAATTTTTGTGTGTTTTTTTTTTTTAATCCTCACCCAAGGATATTTTTTTTGTTGCTTTTTAGAGAGTGAAAAGTAGGGAGGAAGGGAGGAGAGAGAGAGACAAACATCAATGTAAGAGAGACACATCAACCAGTTGCCTCCCTCATGTTCCCTGACCAGAGCTGGGTATCATACCTGAAACCCAAGTACAGCCCTTGACAGGGAATTGAACCCATGATCCTTCAGTCTGTGGGCTAATGCTCTAATCACACAGCAAAACCACCAGGGCAGAAAGTTAAATTTTAAGATACCATTGATAACAAAAATAAAATAATACGGTTCCTATAAGAAATAAATATAACAAAGGGTATATGAGTCTATTAAGATGTATAAAGATTACAGAAATAAATGAAGACCTATATAGTAAATCCTTAATATATGGGTTAATTTGGGTGAGGGGGTGTCTGTTAAACCTGAAAGTTTGTTACACAATAAAGTAGATTTTCCAAATATGTGTTTAAAAATTGACAAATTAGTTAGTTTATCTGTTTTTACTTAGGGAGATATGTTTGTGTAATGAAAATTAAGTATGTATGAAAAGTTTAATTTCACAGAAAAATTTTCTATATGTATTACAGTAATTTAAATTTATACTGAATAGCTCCAGTAAATGCGTGCATTCACCAGTCACCGCCAATAAACAGATGCACACAGCTGGGGCACGTAGGAACATCAGCCTGCACACATTAAAACTGCTGCAGAAAGTCACCCCAGGGACAAAAAACAATTACCATTCTCGATGTAGTGTGATCATATGTCAATCATTGCTGAACATTGTTTACCAGCAAGAACTCTTGGATTTAAACATGTACAGTTGTAGACATGTAATATTTATTTATGTCAGCGAAATTACTACAGTTTTTTTCCAACATTTGCTAAAATTTGTCAAAAATAATGGTGAATTAATAACAAAAAAAAGTTAATTTAATTATGAGCAAATCTTGGTTTAAAGGATTTTAAAATTAGCAAGGTGTTCATTTTTCCATATGACATAAGGACCAGAAATTTTATACATTAAATCTAAAGTCTGCTGTATTGAAGTCTGCAAAATCAAGGGTTTTGTATCATATTCTTAGATGAGAAATATTAATATCTGAAAGATGTCACTTCTCCCAAATGTATTAATAAATTAATTCTATTTCAAGTCTCAGAAGGATCTTCAGGTCAGGGGACCTTAATAAGTTCTTTCTAAAATGTGCATGGTGTAAGAAAGATGGGAGGAACGAACAGCAATATACTTTGGAACAATGCGAAAGCAGAGAAACTTGTTCTAAGCAATGTCAAAACTTATTCTAAAATTGTGCCATTAAATGTATATAATATTAATGTGGGGTTAAGAGACCAACAGAAGAAAATGGGATGACTAGAAGGCCACTGCAAATATAGAAACAGAGGTATGGTCTTACATCAGTGGGCAAAGATTGAACTAGTCAGCAAATGATGCTGGGTCAATTAGCCTCATGGGAAAAAGTCAATTAAATTCCTACTTCATTTCACATCCAAAAATAAATGTTGTATTTATGTAACCATTTCCCAACAGACTGGTATTATAAATAACTGGAATGAATATCCTTTTACCCAAATTTTTGTCTGTATTTCTGATTTCATTAAGTCAGACTATATTTATTTTTAAAATAGCTGATACATAATTTTAAATTGTCCTCCAGAAAGATTACACTGCAAGGTGGAGGCAAAGTAGGTTTACAGTTGTTTGAATGGAAAATAATAGAATAATTAATAAATAATAATGCAAGAATAAACTCTGTGTTTCACATACTCACCACTGTAAACCCACATTTGCCCTGCCCTGTATTTTATATTACTACCAGCAGTATTTTAAATGTACCGCTCCCACTAGAGCTTGGCAACATTGACTGTTATTATGTTTAATCATTCTGATGTTAAGTAAAAGTTGCATTTACATTTTAATTTACCTTTTTAAAAACTTATAGTGCAAGTGAGTATTTTTTCGTATGAACACTAGCCATTTTCATTTGCTGTTTTCTGCTTGTGTTCTTTATTCATTTTCTGTTGGAAGTACCCTCACTTGTTTTTTTTTTTAATTGGTTTGTATAAACTGTTTATATGTTAAGGACATTAGTTTTTTTGTAAAAACTTTTCTCAGTAGCTTATTTCCAATATATTTTATTTTGACATATTGAAGTTTATTTTCTTTTGGTTTTGGTTTTTCTTTTTATTGTTGGATCTAGGATTTTGCTTAGGATTTAAATAATATTTTTCTAAATAGTTACCAATATACCTGGATCAGTTAAAAAAGAATCTATCACATACCCACTGATTTGTGATTTTTTAAAATCGTACATTAACTTTTTAAACATACTAGTCTAGCTCTGGGCTAGTTGTTCTTCTCTCTGTATCCAGTTCCACACCAGAATTCAGAATAGGACTTTTGAATTAAAGTCTTAGCATAAGGGTTCTAATTACCATAAAAGGACACTGATTTATTTTTTGAAAAATTATTTACCTACTACATTTGTTGCAATATTCTAAGCTTTGTTAACTTTATATAGCAAATGACCAAACTTTTTTTTATTTCTTTTTAGTTCCTTTTTCTCTCTTTTATTTTTTTTACCACTCTTATGCTCACTCTTTCTCGCTCAACTTTTTCCTTTCTTACTCTGAACCTCACTCTCTATCTCCATTCCTTTCCTTCTTCCCTTTTCAGCCACGCCATTCTTTATAATATTCTGCTCTCAGCTTCTCACTTGTCAATATTCTTCTGTATTCTAATTGTCTTACTTGAGGTTTTTCCAGTATTTCCCTGTAGTCATATTCCTTTTTCTCTTCCTTGCTTCTTTCCCATTCCTG